CTTTCTGACTTGAGTGCAAGCAAGCCTTCTTTTCCAATCACTGAAATTCCACTCATTCCCACTCAGAATCTAGTGACTTCATTTCCAGCTGCACTTCCAAAGAAAATGTAGAAAACCAAACTCCCGTACTTGTTCCTGATCTGTTTGGCCCGCCGTATTTCACGTCTAGTTTTGGCTCACGAGACAAATCACTTTGAACTTATGCAAATTCCTGCCCCGATCTCGATAAGAGTTTCTGTACCGTTTTGCACACCTGGTGGAGTACATCCTGCCCAATCCCCCGTCTCTGCTGCAGAAACAGATAAAAGGATTACGAGCCATATTTTAATTCGCATTCCTGCCTATTGTTGCTGTAAAACCTCGGAGCTCGTGGATATTTTCCTCTAAATGAGGGCATTGCATACTTTTCCTGTAGTAACGTTTCCGTGGAGACATGTATCCATCTGCACTGAAAAGGGAAAAGCTTTTTGCGTGCGTATTTGAATGTATAAAAAAAGGATTTTACACAAAGTGTCATTATTGGCTGCGTATCAGTGTCCATCTTACTAATGGGTTTCGTGTGAGTGTCCTTGAAGCGTACAACGTGGATATTAATTCTGTCACAGCAGACAGTAGATTTCCACTTTCAGCTGATGGCGCGATGCCTGTCGCCTACGTCTGTGCCATTTTTAGCCTGCGGCGGCTCTGGCCGGCCTCATTGCCACCTTGCCGCACATTGCCATGTGTGGGCAGACGCTGACCCAGGGCCCCCGTCTCCTGGGCTGCTGCTGTTGCATGGTGGGGCTCCCACGGGACTGGGCTGTGGCCCGTGGTGGGGCGAGGCAGAGGAGGGCGGTGGGGTGCTCGCCACTGACTCAAGCACACTGGCAGTCTTAAGGAGCGCTGCTGAGGGGAAGTCCTGTGCGTTTGAAGTAGGGACCTCAGAGAGCCTGTTTACTCAGGCAGGGGAGGGGGGGGCTGGCCTGCTGCACAAGAATGCCTGTGTCATGACGGGAGCGGCGGAGAGGAGGAATGCGCTCCACAATCCCAACACTGTAGAAGCCGGGCCACGGCTGAGGTGGCAGCCATTTCTTCCTATTTATTTTAGCTCCCTCTCCACTCAATCACCGGCCCTGTCTGTGGTCCACAGCATCCCTGGAAAAATGAAAAATGGCCCGTGCTTTTATTTATGGCTTCAGATTTACCCGTATTTGCCAGCAGAGTATCTTCGCCCAGTGTGGATGAAATCTAAAACTGTGAACTACTTTACTTCAGTCATTCGTTTATTCAGGGAAAATTCAGCTAGCAGGCGTGCTCGGCCCTGCTGTCCTTCAGACGCAGTTCAGCTTTTCTTAATATGTTCTTGGTGGTTTGCAGGAGTTGCTCTTTATATTCCATGTCTTTGGCCAGGTGAGGGGTCCGCTCTGGCTGAAAATGTCTTCATCTTCTGGAACGCTGCTCTGCCATTCATCCGTGCTGCACAGGATTGCTGTATATGTGTGACGAGGTTATTTCCAGTGCCATCAGTTTTAGCCGAAGTCACAGGTTTCTACAGCACGATTTGTTTTGACTCACCTCGCTGCCAAACTTTCTAACACGGCCTGATGAGAGCTTACCGAAACGTCTTCAGTATACGAGCTTCTTGTGAGTCTGTGGCACCTTTGTTTGCCTACTCTGGTTTGTTTGTAAATGGGCTGCATGAACCAACGTGAACCCAATTTTTAGCTCCAGGCCTGTGCTGTCTTGCTGACAGACATTTGTATTTATTGCTGAATGGACAATGACCTTTCTTGCTTTCAGTTTATTTTTTCGCTCTGAGGATTCATTGGCCTTGTACAAATTGCAGAAGAAGCCAAGGCGTGCCTCACGCTCTCACTCAGTTTGGTTTGAAATAATGTTCTCCTGTTGCACTGAGCTGTGAAATGAACCAAATACATCATCACATGCTGCACGGCGAGGAGGTTCGAACACACGGCCGGCTAAAGCCTTTCTGTGTGGAGCTTGCATGTTCTCCCCGTGTCTGTGGGTTCTCTCCAGGTCTTCAGCTTCCACCCAAAGACATGCATGCTGGGTTAACTGATAGAGGCGGGATCACCAAACACCCCACAATATGATATTACCACAATCTTTCACTGATGATACCATAGTACATTTTTCAGTATACTGCATATTGCATTAACATATACCACAAATATGGTCCTCAAAGTTCAGCTTTGTCATTACATGCATGCTGTTTATGATAATACAGCAATTAACCGTAATAAGTAGTTGAAAATTGTGTATTTGTTGCTGTCTGCATAGACAGAAATTTTACACATATTACATCTGCGCTCACAACCTTCCTGTTCTATGTGAATATAACCAGAACACAAGCAGCTGGCAGCCGGCTGAGTGGAGTGGAGATAGAAATGACTGACTTTCTGTCTGAGAGTGGTTGTAGTCAGACTGCAGCTGTTTGCAGAAAGGTTGCCTCCTGATAGGAAACTAGGCAACCTGTGCAATCACCTTGTGAGTGTGCAACACCCTGAAAGGTCTGAGCAAAATTTAGTTGGACTGGGTTGCAGAATGTGAAAAAGATTAAACATTTTTTCCCTCCTTTTGACATTTTTCTTTGATAATCTTTAAATGGCTTTGAAGCCTTTATAACTGTTGGATTACATACACCTGTCAGGCTCAACCTCAAAACCTCACATGTGAAGTGAATAACCATCAATAATCTCACTCAGTGCTGAGAAACCTTTCCTCCTGGCTTTAACGTGGATGTAATTTAACACACACGGCCACTTGAACGTTGTTTCAGAGCAGACACCCCCCCGGTTTGAAACTCTCACATGTCAGCAGCCTCCTCCAGCAGGTCAGCCTGCCCTCCAAGTTGCAACAAATGCCCTAGAAAGTTTTGAGGAGCCCCCCCACCTCCATCCGATTCTCCTCACGGAGGAGACACCTTGTATTAGTGGACCCAACTGTGCTTTGCCAGAAGCCAGAGAGCAGCCCCTAGACGAGCCGTGTCCATGCCTCGGTGCGTCAGAGCTGTTTTGGTTGTACATCTACACAATATTTGCCAGGTTTTCAAGTTGCCGCCGGTTGTTGTGTTGACACCACTGTATAAATGCGCTTTAGAGTAGCCAGAGTCTTCTACAAAGAAATCAGCAATGACTCTAAATACTTTTTGTAAATGGGAGTTTTCATTTTTTTACACCATTACAAAGAAAATCTAAAAACAAATTCCTCTTACTGAGAGAGTCACTGTTGGTGAGTTATCAAAAGCTGCAATGTTATCATGTTAACATGTATTATAATTATCATATAACATGTTATAACAAATAGTGCAATTCAGCGAGAGGTGATGATGACCGTTAAAACACAGTTTTCTCTGCCTTGACGAAGAGGCGCACCCCGTTCATTCTTATTTTTGATTATATCTGAAACGAACTGCACACGTCAGGACAGAGCTAACAGGATGTAGTCCACTGTGGTTAAACCAAATAAAACACTGGAAGCATAATCACCGCCTTACTGGTAACCACCAGCTCCACTAGAGGAAAACAGTCTCGCTCGGAGACATCCCGATGAGTCATTCAACCTGCAGCTCCGCCCCTCCGGCCATTATAACCAGTCAGTCTGCTCGAAAACAAGAAAGACTTTTTCCTTTTATTATAAGATGATAATTAAATTTGCAACACTTTTAACTATAAAGCAGCAAACTGTGGAGTGAAGAGCAGACGCTCGATACCCCCTCTGTAGTCCTCGAGGCCCCGATATCTGCACTGCTGCCTGCGGTTTCACAGAGATACCCTTAGCCTCCAGAGTGTGAGTAGTATAAGCAGTATTATGGGAGCTCTAAGTACTGGTGGTCCATTCCATCAAAGTGGGAAGTATTAGCACATTCAGCTAGTTTGAGGAGAGGAGCCTGAAATCTGTCAAGTCAGACAGTTCACCTCATTTTCATATCGAGGGAAGCAGAAACTCGGTTTGAAGTCAAATCTGATTTGAAAGTTATGTAACAACAGAGGAAAGTCTGTGGGTTGTAAAAATGCCTCAAAAACTACAAGGTATTTTATCCCGTGTACTAATTAAAGGCAGTGAACCCCATCAGCCTTTATTGGATTGAAGTGAATTGTGGACTGAATGAACTGAGCTGCTGTCACAGACCTTTTTATCCTTCCACAGATTTGAAGCTTTAACAGTTGCTTTTAGCATCAGTTTACCCATCAAAGCTCCATAACACAGTCAGCACTGAACAAACAGGGTGAATAACACAAAGGTCGTCTAATACACGAGGGGGTTTCTGGCATTTTGACTAAAACAAAAGTAGTTTTCTGTCTCTCTCCTTGTTTTTTCTTTTTGTTTTGCTAAATCAACATTTTTCAGGTAAATAAGGAGCACTGCTGTGTTATCCCCATAGTGCTTGATTTGTTTGACCAAAAGTCCAAAGATGCTGGAATGAAAATGATCTGAAACAGAAGGTCACACAAATCCACTCATTTAAAGTTGGAACCAGAAAATGATTAAAACAGGAAATTATAAACATGTTATTTGCCTTTTCAGCACTTGAGTTGAAGTGTTATGAAATCCAGCTGTGGCTGCGCACCCGGCTGGAAAATGTCTCCTCTTTTGAAAACATCTGCTTGGCTTTCTCCGTACGTCGCTGCGCCATCGCCTCATACTGCTCATTAGCTAATCATTAATCAGAAAAAACAACATAAAGCTCCGACTGGATAAACCCTTTTCCAACCATCAAATATGAAACCTGTATAATTCAGGCCAGCAGGCACTCGACTTCAGAACAAGCTTTGGCCTCTGCTGACACATTCATATGCAGACAGAACCTGCAGCCCTGCAGCTGCACGACTCGCCCGTTAATGTTGATCGAATGCTCGTCTAACACAATGTAATTGTTATGTAATAGCAGATCAGTGAGCGCCTTTACCCAGTTAGCATTTTAAAATGAACGCCCTGCAGCGGCTTTCACAGCTGGAAAAAATATTAAAAGTCGTATCTCTCCCGTCTTAATCTTACAGAACCGGAGCTCGATGTTCCCGGGACCCTCGACTCAGTAACCCGACAGGTGAATGAGACGGTCCGGCGCCGCAGACGGAGGGACGCTGGAGAGGACGACTACAACATCGAAATCCTGCTGGGAGTCGATGACTCAGTGGTCCGATTTCACGGCAAGGAGCATGTGCAGAATTACCTGCTCACACTGATGAACATAGTGAGTCACTACAACTTCATTTTGTTCCTAGTTTGAAAACTGTTGTGTATTAAACCTGACTTGTGTTTTGAATGTAACAGAACAGGGATTTTTTGTAAGCACAGCATGCATTAGGGGTGCCACTGGGCAGCTCGGTGGTGCAGTGGGAACCCGGCTCGCTTCTTGCTCTGCTGGTCCAAACCTCTGCTGGGGCCTTCCTCTGGAGTTTACCTTACCTTTGTGGGTTTCCTCCAGGTGCTCTGGCTTCCTCCCACAATCCAAAGGGATTCTGGGTTAATTGGTGATTTAAAATTGGCACTGGATGTGCTTAAAGCACACAGAATAAAGGGTTGTGTGAATGCACTGTACTGACACGTAAATGTAAATGATGATGATGATGCAGATTAACCTTTATAAAAGGCAAATATGGTGCTGGGAATCAGAGTGTCTGCTTGTAGGAGCAGCACAGTGGATCAGCGACTGGCGTCTGACAGCAAAAAGTTGGACTGTGTCAGCTGAGCTGGGCTTCAGCATCCTGGGACCCTGAAGCTGAATAGAGTCAGATTCCTTTTTTACTTTATTTTAGTGTTTTTTTCTGTGATCTCTGTGATCATTGACGTGTTTCTTCCCTTGAGTCAGCCATGTTTAAACTAGGAAGGAAGAAACCTCCAAATAATAAACACTATTAAGTCTCATTGTCTCCCAAAGCAGTCGTTAACTGTATCTTCGTTTCAAGGTGTAAATGAGACTCATTCAAAGTTTTCTAGTTATCCACACCTTTCAGCTTTGTTGTTTGAGAGCTGGTGTTGTCTCTCTGTTGCTCTGGGCTGAGGTTACAGTACCCTCTAATCTACACTTCCTATCACATATTGTATGGAACTGGTCTTGATATGAATAAGTGAGTCATTGGTGTCACAGCAGCCCACTCCTGTGGGTTCTCTGCTGTGGATCAGTGTTATATTGTCTGAATCAGAAAGAAATGGAGCCCACAAGCAGCTGTTGGGATGCCAAGTGCATCTGTTTCCTCCGGTGTGAATTCACACTGTTGTCCACACACAGGATGCTAATCGTGCCTCCGTGGGCATTATTACAGCCATTCACGTATGATCCCTAGCAGGGATTTCTCTGCCCTCCGTGTGCGTTAGGCAGTTAGCTCAGACTGTCGTTAGTCTCTGGAGGCAGATTTGATGCCGTGTTCGCTCATCACGTCCTCACAGATGTCACAGATACACCTCGCTTGCGTTGTGAGAGATTGGCACATGTGCCATTATTGCCTGGCAGAAAGGTGAAGTGTTCCTTTAATGAGAGGTTTCAATGCAGATGGAAGAGGCGGAGCATTTTTGCCGCCACGTTGTCGCGCTCTCCGTGGAGTGTCGTCACTCAGGTTTCTGCCGTCGCCGCTCCTCGGCACCAAATCAGCAGCTGATCAAAGCTTTCTGAAGCGATGGGCCGCGGATGATCGCGTACCACCGAATTCTGATAGACATCGGTTTTTGTGTCGTCGCTGACATGTTGTGGGGCGGAACAATTTGACTTGAACATGAAAGGATTTTAAAGAAATCAAAGCAACGAACGCGTCGGTGCATCAGCGGGAGATATATGGTCCAGTCCAGAAGTGCTGATTGCTTAATGTTGTTTACACACATGTTGTTTCTCTGCTTGTGTTTTCATTTAGTGTGAGAGTTTGTAAAAAGGCAGGATTGCCTCTCGTTTCCTCACCGGCTTCATTATTTACAGCGCTGTATTAACATTATCTCATTATTTGTAGCGCTGCATTCAAATTACAAGCCTCTCAGATGCTGCTGATGTTCCCCATAATGGAACCATCCTGCGTTTGCACATGAAAGCAGTTTGTCTGCCAGCTTTATTTAAACGAGGTCCTTTCTGGTTCGAACGCTCCAGCCTGGACTGACTGGAAGGATTGCAGCAGTTTGTTTGTCAGTGACAGCCAATCAGGGCCCATCAGTCACTGGTACTGATGTCTCCTCTAGTCTGGATGTGGTTCACTCTGAGAAAATGCATATTTTTAGTTCAGACTAAAGAAAAACAGATCAAAAATTGATCTCGTCCTAAAATATTCATGAAAGTAGGTCAAATATTTAGTTTTATGAGTGTCACATATGGTCCTATTGATATTTTATGGCATCATTTTTAGTTTAGCTTATTTTACTGTTGCTACATTTAATTTGTCACTTGTTGACATTCATATTTGCACATTTGCTGATATTCAGTTTTTTCATCATCAGCAGCACTGATCATTTTTGATTCCATATCTTCTAAATGAAATCTCATAGTGCTCATGTATAAATCTTTGTGGTGAAGCACTTTCAAAACATGCACTACAGCCTTTTAAATTTGAAAGAAAATCTCCTCCTCAGTAGATCTTCACCGAGTTCCTTGGACTTTACTTCTGTCCACTAGAAAGGAAGAGAAAAGTCTGTTCCTTGTAGCCTTCAGCACCACTTACAATAAGTTTAAGAGAGCGTGTGTGTGGAGCCATGACACTCATGCCCATGATGAGCAGAACTGTACATCTCATGATTTTAGCTATCAGTGCAGTTTACCATGTATAGATGTTTTTATTAAGCCTTTTCTGGCATGAATAGTAAAACTGCATTTACACTGGGTGTGCAGTGTCCTTGGATTTAAGGAGCAGAGCATAAACCTCAGTGTCCCTGATCCTGTCATGATATTCCCATCTCTACATTAAATGCCTCCAAAATCCCTAATAATAATAATAATAATAATAATAATAATAATAATAACAATAACAACCTCAGTTCCTTTTAACTTCCAAAGTACTAAATGCTCTTTTCAGTCTGCCACATGCATCACTCTATCGCTCTGGATCTCTGCAGTGTCTGGCACTGAAGTTTTGAGGTTATTGATGGTGTTTTCCAGTAGAGGTCCCCGCTGGCTTTATCTGGACGCAGCACAGTCTCTGAACGCTGATTACTGTGATTGATCTTCTCTCTCTCTATCTCTTTCTTTTGCTCTTGTCTCCTCGTTTCCCTTTTATATTCCTCTGCTCTTCTTTCTCCCTCCTCTCCTCCTCCTTCTTTCCCCTCCTACACCACCTCTTTTATTCTTCTTCTCCTCTCAGCTCTCTTCTTCCCTCTTCTCCTCACCCCCGTCTCATCTGTGTTCATCACCTTCACTCCCTCTGTTCTCCTTTCTTCCTTCTTCTGTTTCAATACTCTTCTCCTGTCATCTCCCCTTTTTCCCAGTTTCCCTCTCTGGTCTTCCAGTTTTCCTTCTCTTTGATATCTCTTGCTAATCAAGTCAGAGCCCCCTCTTCTTTGTGTTCACCATCCTCCAGAGAATTGGAACTGATTGGACCATTTAATGAGCATGTATGTATGAATTCTGTGGGCATCTTCACAAGCGACTCTTCGAGCAGTCCAATCAACAACAACTTAATTTTCATGGAAAGTTCTGCATATAGACACACACACACACACACACACACACACACACACACACACACACACACACACACACACACACACACACACACACACACACACCAGCACTCAAACTGCATTTAATTATTTGGTTGTGTCCAAGCGATACGCTAGTCCTGAATCTGTTACAGCAAATGAGAGAAGAATAAAGTCCGTTCTTTTATTGTTACATACTTCATCATTAGTGAGACTCCAACAGTAAGTGCAGCAGGCTTACAGAATCAGGCAGCTCTGTTTTGTCTTCAGATTCAGATGTCTGAGTACTCGGTGGAGAAACTGTTGTTGTCAAGCACAGCATTGAGACGGTCATCAGGTTTGCGTAGATCTCAGGTGGGATTTTGGCCCAGTCCTCTTTACAGAAACTCCTTTAAGTTCTCCCCTGTTTGGTAACATGACTCTTTTTATGGCACTGAGGTGACCTCAACGTCCTTCTTTTCACTCCGTCGTCTCTTTGACAGTATGTTTTGCATAATTGTCATGCTGGAAGTCATTCTGGTTGAAAAAGGAGGTTCTCAGCCAAGATTACCGTACATGACTCCATGCATTGGTCCATCTATGTGGCGAAGTTGTGAATGTGAAGAAAAACAGCTCCAACACATGTTTCCACCTCCATGCTTTACTGTGGGGATGGTGTTGTTTCGGTTGTGTTGGGCTTCATCCAACCACAGCACCATCTTCTTATTCATTGCTATTGATCTTCTCCTCTTACCTCTTTCTCACTCGTTTCCTTTCATCTTCTTTCTTTTGTCTTCATGTCTCCGCTGCTCGTTTCCTCTCAGATTTCTCTCTTCAGTCTCCTCTCCTCTTCTTTGTTTCCATTGCTCTCCTCCTCCTCTTTGCCTGCTGCCAGTATAATCAGCATAAAGCACTGAGGCGATGGTCACCTACTCGATATGTCGGTCGACTTACATATTCAATAGTATGTGGGTACTAATGTGAGATTTAAAAAAAAAAAGACAACCCAGGAACATTAATATGCTGCTGTAAAAATCTAAATTCATCTCGTTTTAGAAATCCAACCAGCTTCTGGCTGCAGTGAGATTCAGCACCTGTGTTGTGTGATAAGGCCCAGCTCACAGTAAGCAAACTGGTTTATCCAGAGTAGTTGGACAGGGATGAGGTCAGGACTCGGTGGAAACTGGTCAAGGTCTTCGACACCAAAATGGGAGAACTGTTTTTTATGGGACTGGTTTTGTACACAGATGCTCAACAGATGCAGTATCATCATCCATGTTGGTAAAAAAAGAGCTCTAAAATATTTTTCTTAACTGTAAATAACGCAAATCAGCATTAGAACAAACACATGGACACGGTCTCTGTGCAGATGTAGAACAGGTGACGTCAAAAAGCAAACTAAAGGTGCATCTATAGATAAAAAAAAAGGGATATATAATTTTATCTCTATATATAAATAGGTGGGAATGTCCTGTAGTTATGTCTGAAGCATGAGGTTGTCCTTACCTGGAATAGACGAGTAACCTGACCTGTCAAGTGGGTCCACCTTTCACCCACTCCCTGCTGACTTATGCAGGTGCTCTGTGCTGAAGTCTAGTTCAA